TTGTAGGCCACTCCTGGGGCTATGGCTCAGTGTAGGAGACTGTGCCATCCTCTTCTCTGGATCCTTGAGAGAAGAAGAGTAATGGGCTTCATTGGCGTGAACTGACCACACATTGTAACACGGACAGCTAGGGGCAAAGCTCAATATAGCTGCGGCCATTTCTGCGTAAGCACTGCCTCTGCCGTGCAAGCTCAGCCAGAGATTACAGAGACGGGGTATTACAAGATGCACTGCAGTTGGTCTGAGCAATTTTATTACTTGTGGAAATGCCTCTTTGAAACTGTCAGATATTTTGAAAACAATTAAATCTTTTCTCTCTTTTCAGTGCTTAGTACTCTATGCAACATGCTTTGAGAAATTCAATTCAACCATTATAACGGCCAGGTACAACCATTAGGGTCAGGTATCAGCTTAGGTCCAGAAAAATAGAATGAATAGAGCATAGAAAGTGAAGAGGTGATATCACAATTGGGAATATGAATGGTGAAAGTAATCAGATAATTTAATGGATCTTTTATTTACAAGCTGTCCTGTTGTTATTGGTATCGACTATTGACAGATACTAACAGCTAAAGTAAAAGTAAAAGCTGGATCAATGCATCTCTAATTAAAATTCCCAACATCTCTGCAAGCTAATGGAAACCAATTTCCAGATCTTGAATTGATCTGTAAAAAAGCAATAACAAATGATACACAATATGGTTTCAGCTTGTACTTTCTGAGCCAGCATTACGTAACGTTACACATACTATATCAGCCGGAGATAGCACTCTCCCCTGCATGACAGCTAGTTGCCAAACATGTCATGTGACCAGCGGATGGCTATTCCTACAGGTTGTGACATTTGGGAGACAGGCAGCTCCAGATAGCGGTGACTACATTTGCTTGCGAGCCTCATTACATCGAAGCACAACGTATCAACCATGGTCATCTGGTCCACCTCCCTCCCTCACCGTGCATTAGACTGGACCATAAATGTCAAGAGGCACTGCTCCTCGGCACGGACCCCCACAAGTGAGATTCATTACTGGGCTGCGGGGATAATGACAGTCCATCTCCTGAGAGGAAGTGGAAGGCTCTCTATCCTCAGGGCAAGATCAATACAGCGAGCCTGCTTGATCAAGGATAGATAGGTGGCTCCGCGCTATCTGCCTGTGTAAGGTAGACCCCACTCCGAGCGCTGCATTCCAACATTTTCTGTCTTGTAAGCACTAGGCTGACATTGTAGCGGGAGTCTGTCTCTGGATTATTGCTCATGGCGGAGCAATTGCCCTGCCCGTTCCGTCTGTTCTGCCTTATAAAATGAAGGAGTGCTAATCATATAACCAAAGGGCAATATTGACTTTGGTAGAAAGGTTGGCAGGTCTGTCACATTATGTTGTTGTGTTATTGTGCAAGACACTTCACCCACCTGCCTGGATTAATGCGGTATGTGTCTCCAAGTGTCTGAGGTGTTTTATCTCATCAATCCACAAGTACGATTAATGTTTGTCTTGTCAGTCAAATTAATAGGGAATAGTGTATTGCTCTGAAAGTAGTGCGGGTTGAAGCTATTTAGTACTGACGTAATTTGAAGCTATAATGAAAATCGATGGATTTTTCTGCCCATCTTCTTTGTTGGTTTTGACATTTTCGTCAATGACTATTTTCCATGTTAAACGTCTCAGCAACCATTCAACTGAGAAAAAGTACAATGTGAACCAATTTAAATTAAGGTAATATTTCTTCCTGTATTTTCTGAGATTCTTGGATTGAAAAACACGGGGCAATACATAATAAACTTACAATTTGGTAATGGTCATTCTGCCTTCAATTAAGATAAGATAAGATAAGCACATAAACATCAGCATAGAACTAAGTAAATATGAGACCAAGTGTGAGCACGAGTGATGCACCAACACGACCTTTAAATTATTCTTAACAGGCAAACCCTTGCATTCTTGTATTCTATTAATTATTGCACATTCCCTAAGCCTATGTGCAGTTTTGATTGCAATTATAAACTTAGAACTACCGAATCTTTTTGTCAGACAGAATAGTTTGTTTACCTGCTTTACATGTTTAAGATACTTTCTGTACTCTTCCTCAGAAGCGTCACATGATGATGTAGCGACATGTCTTGTAGGCCGTTTTACTTGGTTTTGCCAGACAGTAGGGGGAACAATGCCAGGGTCATATGTGCCAAAAGCTACAAATACTACCGCTGGATTAGAGATGCCATCGAGATCCGCAAACGAGGTCCAAGAAGCGTAAACCGTGACGAGGGAGCATACACCTTATCACACACACGGGATGCAGTACTGGAGAAGATGCCAGACAGTACGGGGTGTCATCTTCCCCTACTGTCTGGCAAAGTAAAGCAGCCTACAAGACACATCACAACCCAAAGTACCCAAAGAGATAAAGCAGGTAAATAAACTCTCCTGTCTGAAGAATCGCTAATTGTAACATAATCAAAGTGGATGACAAGGCTTAGATTGGAAACACCAACAAGACACAAATAGCACAGAGCTAATGCTCACAGACAATTGATTTACTTGCTCACTTAACACATACAATAATGTAGGTGGAAGACATAGATTAATGCAATGATTGTGAAAAGGCAGTATGGAGATTACATTTGGAGAGGACCTTATTAAACCACAAAAGTAGGCCTGTCACGATAACACATTTTGAAGTGGGATATACTGTTGAAGTAAAGTTAGTCGATGAACAATGCTGATATTGAAACCAAATCATAATGTGGAATTATCCCCTAAATCAGGGGTGGGCAAACTACGGCCCGGGGGCCGTATGCGGCCCTTTAAACCTTTTAATCCGGCCCGCCGAACTGGAATAAATGACATTAATAAACCTTGTTGATGTTTTATTTGTCATGCATTTCCAGCGTTTCCCAGTAGATGGCGCACTATATATACATTGAGTTGCGGCGTATTATGTTGGCCGCAATGCTTTATGGGAAAGTGTTCTTACAGGAGTTATTCGGACCATGAGTGAAGTAGTTGGTGCTTAAGATATAAGACTGCACTGCTTCCAGTTTGAGTTGGTATAAATCAATCAGAGACACCTATAGGCTCAGTTGTAACTTTTAATGTGTACAGCATTGTGTGGAATCAAGTTTAGTCACACTCACAGGTGTATATCTGTGGTTGTTTGGCGTGAGTTTTGTTTTTGAGCTGTTACCAGTCATATTCGGAAACGGTGAGCTCACGATACACGTTCACTCGTGGTGTGCAGTGGAACAGGTCTCAACAGTGTTGTGTTCTGAATCTTTCACAGCAGTGATAAACGTGTAGCGCGCGTCTGAAGTCCTAGATAAATGTGAATAAGAATGTAATGAATCTGAGCTCTTAACACGTTATGTCCTGTCTTCTGTCCGGCCCTTCAGTTTAGGACCGTATGTGGCCCGCGAGCCAGAAATTTTGCCCACCCCTGCCCTAAATCATATTCTAAATGTACAATATTAAAAAAAAAGCTCCAATAATATTAGACTAACACATAAAGGGACAGTCGGGAATTTTGGACATAGGACCTCATTTCCTAGTGAGCCAGAGTCTCGGAGACGTGTGGAGACACTTTTTTTTAAAATATTTCATCCAGTCCTTGTATTTGCCGGATGTCACTGGTGCTAGGCTAGCGCATGTCAATGGCCTATAGTTAGCCTGCCACTAAAAACAGTCTTACCTACTCCACAAAGCACACGATGCAAATCTATTATTACACCAGACTGTCGATGTAAATGTCTGTGTCGACAGAATAATTTTAGAAGTAAAACCAGCCTTACATCTGAAGGATTTATGTCAGCAGCGAGCGTGGCAGTGGCGGACTGATATCACCTAGCACCTATCTTACCGGCAAAGTGAAATTCCGCTGCTGCTGAGAAAATAGTCCCTCAACATGTGACGATTCATGCGATGCATAGTTAGTTTTATTTCAAACATTACTCTATCAACACAGACACATACATTGACAGTCTGGAGTAATAATAGATTAGCTTTGAGTGGACCTTGGAGTGATTTTAGTGGCAGGCTAACTATGGCCATTGACATGCACTAGCCTAGCACCAGCGACTTCTGCAAATACAAGGACTCTATAGAATATTTTTTTTAAAGTGAAGGCTGTACCAAGTGGTGGGGTTTCTTGAGTGCATCACATGTGCATATTAAACATTGAATTTATATATTGGTTTGACTATTACAAATTGAGTTGTTTAACCACTGAAATCTTATGTATGTTTAAAGGTACCACTGTGTGAAACATGTATGCTTTTAAGGTCATCTTTTGCAGAAATATAAGTTGTGTCCTTTTAAGGAAACTCATTGCAGAGCAGCAGCAGTGGAGATGGTTCGGCCTGGTATGAAACCAAACAAACTGGTGATTTACATTTGGCTGCTGTCAAGCCCCCTGAACCTAAAGGAATGCAGAGAAACTCCAAGGAAGATTCAAGGCATTACCTGTTCAACATATTATTTGCGTAATCATATGGATGTCTATAAAAATCTGGGTTAAGGTATTCAGAGGCAGTCAGATTGTCTGATTTAAGACCTCTGTAGCCATGGGCAGTTAGGGACAACGATCTGACCCAGAGCTCTGTATTAGAATTGTATTGAATAGGGAATAAATTCTTTTGATTTTAATCGATCGATTCCAGTGGTTATTTTTGAGAGAACACGCTTACGCTAGATACCTATCAAAAGTGTTTCCACATGTCTCCAACACTCTGGCTAACTAAGAAATGAGGTCCTATGTCCAACATTCCCGGACTGTCCCTTTAAGTAGTTAGTTTGTGTCTATAATGAGATATACAAGTTCATAATTCAACCTTCTGTGGCCCAAATCTAATCACAGAAAAGAAGCGTAACCTGAATGAATAAATATTGATGCCCAAAAATGATTGTTATAACTATACTACAATAAATACTAAAACAATATAATATTTATCGTGATAGGCCTACAGAGCAGCATAATAAACAATCTGGCAGAAAACTACAAGGACTTACATGCAAACTGCAGGCTGGCTCTGCGACTGACGATGGTACCCCACGTGTTGTAGGCGATGCACTGGTAAATCCCCGTGTCTTGGTCCCTGTCCAGGTTGCTAATGATCAGGTTGCCCCCAGACATGTGACGCCGGTAGTCGTTCCCCAGATCGATGAGCGTTCCGTTTAGTGACCATCTGGAGAAACGCAAACACAATCAGTGGCCCGGCCCCCGTGGAGAGACACACACACACGCTCGCGCGCACGCACACACGCACACACAATTTATCAGAGAATCGATTTGAACAGTCCACCCACATCATGCAGAAGAGAAGGGAAAAGAGCAGCCTTCGAGATTACTAACGGGCCAACTACTTACAAGACGTTTGCTTTCTTGTTCAGTTATGTGCATGAAATCTTTGATAAGTTTGGCCAAATTCACATGGGCAATGCGGTGGAGGGCATTGATTTTTGTCTTGGTTCTCCTTTTTCTTGCCAAATTGCTATATTTAAACTTTGTGTAAAATTAGGATGGGACTTTTTTGCACAAATTGGTGTACGCAAATTCATGCAGTGTTTATCTACAGTGTTTTGCAGTATTAGAGAAGAATATGGTGGAATCACATAGTCAAATTTTTACCCCATAGTCTGAAAATCTGAAAAAAAAAAGGTAAATATATAAAAAAAAATAATGAGTTATATTTTATACCTGTAGTACTGTCTTAAAAAATAGTTACTTCTATATGTTTATCTATGTATATATATATATATATATATATATATATATATATATATATATATATATATATATATATATATATATATATATATATTATATATATTTTTTTATTTTTTTTTTTTTTTTTCAGCAGCGGCAAAAAGCTAGCCTGATTCATCAGCCGTTTCACTCTGTGGAAACCATCTGACCTTGAAGCATAAGAAATCGTTCGCTCAACAGTAGGTGAGTACTTTTTATCAATTAACCAATTGCTACTATTTGGTTGTAACTTATGTAATGCGCCGCTAACGGGGCAAACTGGTATATGAAGCTTTTCCCAAATCCCATAGGAAGAAGGGCAATAACGTCTTTCCTCTTGATGAAATTCACCAAACATTCTCTTTGTTCCAGCTTTAAATCCTCAGTCTTGGGAATTGTCGCTAACACAGAATGTGGGTTCGGTCAAGTGGTAACGGAGGGAAACAGGGGCAGATTTTTGACATTCAAATGTCTCTTATTCAGAAACTAGAGGGACTATTGAAATAAGTAAAGTATCAGAATGTAGGAAAGAGTTACACTCCAACAGGGTCAAGTTAAACCTGTGATATTCTTTCAAGTTGTTGACAAAAAATTAAATTTCATGTCGGGAACGGAGGGAATGAAATATGCAGCACTTTTTGGGCAATAAATACAAACAGTGATAACTAGCGGTTCTCACTTCCATATCCTTAACAAACTGGTTTGAATATTTGCTTCATATAGTTTTCTACCATATGGTACAAGATTAGGTTGAAAAACTTCTTACTTTTTGAGTCATGAGATTTTTTATTAAGAAAGGTCATGGTAACGGAGGGAAAATTGCAAGCAAGTAGAAGGTGCAGGATTTTACATCATTTGTCAGCTTTTTTCTTCCGAATACTTTAATATTACTTCAAAATGAAAGGAAACTATTTCTATAAAATATTTTTGAAAAATCATGAACCTTCATCAACAGTTCAAAGATGGAATAACACAAGATATGATGAAATACATCCATTTATTTACATGATTTGCAGGTCTTTGAAATTTGGGAAATCATTTTTGTTATTTTAGTTTTTTGTTTAAAACATATGGAACTTTAGAACCAAAAATGGTACAGAAAAAAGGTCAACAGTTTCATAAACTAGAGTACATATGTATCTGTTCAATACATTTTTATATCAGATGTATTAAATTGAATTTTTGGACTTGTTTTACTTCTGCTTGACCGGACCCATGTGTGGCTCTTCGCTGATTGGCTGGTGCCAAAACTTGCACTTCTGGGGTTTTTGCGAACTGTCCTGTATATTTTGATTCCTGACTAGTCGCTGGAGAGAAATTGAGCGGAGGCACTAGGTGGCGCCAGCCTGGCTAGCAAAAAGCCACATTTTTCTCCATATATTGTACTTAATAAAATTATTCAAATACGGATTGCTTGTGCCACCATAGTCTCAGGATAAACTTGTGGATCCTGAGCTCTAAATTTCAAGATGATTATGAGCATACTATAGTCCTTTTAATTGCATTTTTTTTTTTGTATTAGATAGGAAACCCTGCAGCTGAGTTTATTTCACAGTGGGAAGATCTGTTTCTTCATCTCTCTTTAAATGAAGAAATATTCATTCAAGGAATAAAGCTCCTATTTTTTGTAACTTTTGTAAGTAATGGTTTTATGCTCGATAACTACACTATTTGTTACCCCACCCACTCACTACGCTCTATTTTTATTAGCAGGATCTGGTTTGTGGCGATCTGACCCATCATTACTCTAGGTGAAGAGTGGAATCATATTCATTTACCAAAATATGACCATCTTTGACCTGCAATCCTGCTGCTCGAAATGTTGTGTTCCATCATGCATGCAAGACACGTTTCAGCAGCCAACAACAGCTGACCCAATAGTCTGTATTTGGTTCATCACTTATCTTCTTATGACCTGTTTTCTAGTTTTCTAACATTGAATCCAATTTCTCTCCACTCCATCGTCATTTCAGCTTGGCACTGTAACTTGTCATTGCATCTCCACCTCTTAATCTGAACCAGCGTATTGGCTCTTGTATCTTTGTACGGTCCATTGTTAATAACTCTTCTTTATAGTTGAACACATCTCGCACGTTTGTACACAAGAAAATGCAAACTAGAGCAGCATGATTTAACAAAAAAAAAAAACATTTAATTGTGATTAGATTTACAATTTATGTTTAAAAAGTAGAATTATCCTCAGAGTACATTCTTTAAAAAATGCACTTGAGAATTAACATTAGAGAGAAGACTGAAATATCAAATGCTAAACCAATCCAAGATTCCCACAAAATTTCAGTTTGTAGAGGATTAATTACAGAAAGGATTTTAGGTTCTTTGCAGAGGACATTCTATTACCTACATAACTGCAGCCTTTGCGATTTGATAATTGCACAAACTAAAATTGTGTTTTGGATCCAATAGTGATATACCGCGCAGCCCTATCAGAAAGACATTTGCATAGTGGTGCATTAAGTGTCCTAATCTACATGCAGATGGAAAATGTCTCACCATTTCCTAATATTAAAATCATTAAAGAGGAGAGTGCATGCCCTTTGCGGCTCCCATTTCTCTGAGTGCTTTCTGATGGTTGCTTGTGTGTTTGTGACATATTGCTGTGTGACACCTCCAGATTGTTGCGTCTGTAGAGAGACTGCTGTAACAAAAGGTCACGAGACAGAGACGGGCTGTTGCATAAGCCCATGGGGTTGGACAGTTATTAATCACTCTCCACAAACATAACAGTGAGTTGTGTTTATGGTTTGTGTCAATGCTACGGTTCAATTACTGATGTACTGTCACAGGCACGTCAGCAGACATTTGGGGGCCCAGAGCAAGACGCTTTTTATGGGCCCCCGCTCTAATATAAATGAACAACCATGTGGTCCGAGACAACAAAGCCCTTTGCCTGTCTACTCCCCTGACTGTCGGAGGATTATTATTGTGCATGATGAAATAAAAATAAGAAAATGTGTAAGTGCTGGGGTCAAAGAGTCAAAGTTTGTTTCTTCAGTTATTGTAAATGGTGAATTATTTACAAGGGCAGTTTATGGTCAACAACTGTTTTTCTTTTCTTTTCTTTTTTTTCCCTTCAGTTCAGTGGTCATCTGAACTCTGGACCTGCTAATTTCAGCTCCTATCCAGAAGCCATTTTCAATTGTTAGAAAGCAGTGGTAAAAAGTAATGAAGTAAAAGTAGTAAAGTACTGTATTTAAGTATAAATCCGAGGTATCTGGACTTAAGTAGATTTTAAAATGGATGCTTTTTTTACTTTTACTTTACTACATTTGAGAGCTTGTATCTGCACTTTCAACTCCGCTACATTTCTAACCCGGACTAAAAAGTAGAAGTATTTTTTATTACAGTTTGAGACCAGCTGATTTTTATTTATTTTTTTATGCATTTGCGCAAACAAAAATATACAAATAAAAAAGCTAGAAAAAAACAATTGATTTAGCACAAATGTTGATCAAAATCACAACATTTGAAGTCTCATAAGACCTCTTTATTTTAATACTTTTTCTTCAGTAGATTTTTCCATGTGATATTTTTACTTGAGTATCTTTGCTACTTAAGTAACAAAAGTGAGAACTGATAGAAGGAAATGACCACCGATGAAACCTTGTCTACACTGAACGACTCCTGGATGAATGAAGGATTACACCGTTTGTTTTTCCCTTAGAGCATTTGCTTCTAATCAGATATTTGATATAATACCTACCTTTATCTTTTGTGAACAAATATAATCTTTCACAAAAGCTAAAAAATATCACAATGGTAGCTTCATGTGCATGTTTCCTTAGCGACAAGCCTGCGAAATGACAAACCTAATGATAAAAATAAAATCAATACTCCTCTTTCTGCAGCGAGCGAGAGAGAGAGAAGAAAAAAAAACAAAAAAAAAAACAGACGTTAATATGATGCAGGTAACAGAGTAGAAAGCTGTGACTTGTAGCCTGCATTATTTATCCAAGAGTCAATAACTGCACATGACACAATTTCACTATACAGGACAGGCTTTATGTGTTGAACAAGTAAACAATTTAGATTCTAACTACCTTCCAAGAGAAACTGAAAGAAAAGATAAAATATCCATAGCAAATTTTGAAACAGAATTTAAACACAATTAGAATATGACCTTTACTTTTCCTGTTTTTTGTCAAACAAGGGTTGATGAGACAGAAGTTTTTTTTTTCTGTTCCACCAATTAAAAGAACTTTTCATCATTGTGCTCGCAAAATATGTTTCCTAGACACAAAAATGCTTTCATTAACCTCTTCCTCCTACACATACACAAAGCTTTTCTGAAATACTAAACGTGGAGACAACAGTGAATGTAAAAAAGTAAATGCCTTTTCAAACCCTGGGAAGCTTAGATAAACAGTTTGTTAAGTTGTTTAAATATTAAAGGTTGTATGGAGGATTTTTTTTTTGTTTCAA